GCATTTATATGTGCAGGCGGAGCCTGACATCTGTCGTCATCACGTCACCTGCCTAAAGGCGTGATTAGAGGTGGCTTCAGCCAGGACACGCAGGGGCGTGGTTCCCATACATGATGTTGTACCGAGTGAATTGACTGAAAGGGAACTTATTTGCAATGTTAGCCTGGCGGGTACCAGAGACACCCATAAGAAAAAGATAAAAGAAGAAACATCATACAAACAACATATCGAAATAACATTGAAAATAAATCACAAAAGATATAACATATACAAAACAAATAAAAAACATAAATATATAGCATAAAAACATAGCACAAAGCATACTTAATTTCATAAAACATATGGCTAGCAATGACAGGTCAGAGATGGTAGATGAAGCTCATGTAAAGTTGATTTAAATTGACCTATAGGTAAGAGGAGCTGTAGTTTCAGATCACTTTGCAAGTTATTCCATGTGAAAGGGGCTGCATAGCTAAATGTGTGCTTCCCAAAGTTTGTTCTGATCCTATAAGAATATCTGTTTGAAAACAAAACATCTTTGCTGGCATTTGGGGTTTTTTCAGACTGATGCTTGTTCTCGCTTATTAAATAATTTCCTTAAACTGTGTTTTCTACTGAATGTAACTGAAGTTTTAGGTAAAAGCTAAATTTATGATGATGCCAATTACATATCTATATCTTAAGTGCTACGATCCTGTCTAAACAATTTTTCAGATACTAAACAAGTTTTTTTTTCTTGCAAAAACTCAAACTGATCATACAATTTTCTTTTGTTTTTCTACAACTGAATAAAAGCACAAAGCAGGCAGAGACGAACTCTGGCAGTCGGCGGTTTGTAAAGGAACACTGTGAAATTGGATCCAGGCGATAGTTTGGGTAAATTATGAGGCAACAGCAAGCAACAAGAGAGCGGGTGATTTCCCTCAGCAAGGAGGTTTGTGTAGCTAACATTATTTAGAACAACATGGTCTCTAAAGATGAGGGCCGTGCATCGGATTCATAACACAGCATCACAATGCCAGCGCCGATGTCTGCAGGTTTAAAGACAAAGAGGCATCAGCTTTTTGTGTTTTTTTTTCTTTTCTTCTAAAGACATCACGACACAAAAGATAAAAAAAGGACTGGCAGCTGGTGACTCAGCCAGCTAACAACCCTTTCACTTGAACAAAACCATATTCTGATGTTCTTTCAGTGCAGGTGGACAGTAGAAATGCAGAGCTTTTTAAGCTAAAGGAAAAGCAGGTTACAGAGGAGAGCCCTCATGTCTGTAGTCTGTGTCAGAAGAAAAAACAACTGCATAACAGCCACAGTTACTAACTAAACAAAAACCAATTTAGCTTAAAATAAGCAACAAACTCAATTTACCGTGAATCATTTTTTCAGATGCAGGGAAGTGTTTTCATTTTTAGTTGTTTAAACATCTAATGAAGATGCGTTTCAGACAAGAGGCTGACAAATTGAACAAATTTATTTGATGCAGGCTGACATTTGTTCTTTTCTCGTGTGTAATATTTGACATCAGCCATGCTGGAGCATGCAGATATTTATAAAAACATGCCAGCTATCACACATCCGATTGGAAACATTGGTCCAGATGTTTTCTGTCTACCTTTTTATTTTACCGTATGTGGATTAGACTCTAATCAACATAAAATCAAATCAACAGTGTTTATCAAAGTGGGGGGTCGCCGGCCAATGGGGGGCCACCAGGTGGCGGTAGGGGGGCCTCAAAGCAGGAAAAAAAATGCAAAAATTTAAATATTAAATCTAATAAATGTTTTGAATTTAATATCTTTTTCAATTATTATTTTAAAAGATAATACTGTATAAGAAATGTTATTCGCCATGCTCATCTTTCTGATTGGCTGCAAATACATTTAGCAAGCTGCTTTTCTCCTCAAGCTAACATAGCAAGATGGATAAGTTTCTGACAATAAAAACAAAAAACGAAGGAACCAACCAGCAGCCCTGTTGTAGAGGACACTGCAAAAGAAAAAGAACTCCTGGCTAATTATTATGCTAAACATATGTATTAATTATTAAATCGGAATACTAACATAATTAGATTTTTTTACATTTTTGTAGCATCCTTGGGGGGTTTACAAGGGGGTCCCCAGCCAGAAGCTAATGCTGTTTAGGGGTTCATGTCACAAAAAAGTTTGGGAAAATCACTGGTTTTTGACCATTGCTGGAATAGGTAAAAACAAACAACATAGATAAATATAAAAAGACCCAGCATTAAAGGATTTTATATCACCCACCAACTTTCATGCCAACATTTTTAACTAAAATAAACTAAAAATTAAAAAAAATAAATGTTCACAAGATTCCATGTGATCATCTTCAATACCACACAATCTTGTGAGATCCTGGGTAAAGTTGTGAGTTCTTGTGCAATACGGCGAGCCTGTCCAGTATTAGGAAGTCCAGAGTGAGCTTGTGTAACATGACGGTTGCATGATCTCCTGCAATAACATGAGATCTTTGGTGAGCTTGCATAATCTGTTAGTTTCTAGATTATAAGTAAGAGATGGCTCAATGCCTGCCTCACAAATTTTAACTCAAAATTTATCAATTTGACTCCATAAACATGACTTCATTTTCTTCTTGGAGTTAATAAAAAACATTGCATTTAATGATTAATTGCAATACATTTCAATGACAGTTACCTTTATTCACAGAAACACAAATAAAAACAATAAAGGGTGCCCATTATCAGATCTGATCAAGTTTTAGTCAAGACTGCAACGCCAAGCAAAGTCAAAAGCCCAGCAGAGGAAATGCAACACAAAGGAAATGGATGGAGTGAAAAGGCAGAAATT